TATCACATTAGGAAGAGATGTAATGTCTTCGAGAAGTGAAAATCCATTGTCACTATCCTCATAACACCTTTGATATGTACAAGCCTCATACCCAACTGGATCGGGGCTTTGAATGCCTCCAAAATCTGGATTAACTCCACTGGATGTGCTAAGAAGTGTAGCTCCCACAAATGCAACTAGAATGCAGATTGTTTTGTATGTCTTTCTCGTTTGTACAATATCCATTAGGGTATGAGTTAAAAAATTTTTAAATTAATTAAATTGTTTGAATTTTGACAGGAAAATCACAGTGGCATATATAAGCTTTGCTACAAGAAAGAAAGTACTTGCTGCCAATGTTGCATATTGACAATGCTGATAAATCTTTGTGAGTAAGTCCTACAGCTCAAAGACTGTGCTTAAAAATTCTTAGTATATTGATAGATGTCAAGCATGTCATATTAAATCATTCCAGTGCAATCACTTCAGATTGTGATAAATGTAGTCCGTTGGATAAATAGCATTGGAGTGGCATTTAGTACACAGCTCACCAACAATAGATGCTCTACTATATTCTTTGTGCAATCCAGTTGAATGGAAGTGGTTTGAGTATGCTATCGATCATCCCGTGCCAGTGCAGAATACAAGCATATTATCCCATAACAGCTGTGGCAGGATATTGTATGGAGTATACATAGATATAATGGTTAAATTATAAAGCCTGTGACAAAACATACAGTTGGTTTGCATTTATTTAAGCACTAATCAGAAGAGTGAGTCTGATAAGCACTGTATAGTCATGATCAGATCACCTATAAGCAGTCCGACTTTTGAACTAGGGATGTGTGCAGATCAGACTCCCCATTCGTAAATGATTTCTTGTCTGTGGTTCATTGTGGTCTCCATCAAATATTGAAATATGTAGTGTTCGCTCCTTGTGCAGATCGTGTAGCCATCCAACGATGGCCATTATCAAGATATCCCTCAATCTTCTGTTTGTCTTTGGAAAAATTTTTATGACTTTCAGACAATATCTAAGCTTGATTTCATATCTTTTACCTGCTTTCAGCCATTGGCCTGGCATGCAATACAAAAGAATGTCTTAGCACGTAAAGAGAAACAAAGGTGGATCGTAGACATGCACTGCTCCGCCACGTAGAGCTGATGTGCTGCCGACTTTTCTTTTCTTGTGATCTGATGAAATCACCCTTGATAGTGGCAACAGAAAAACAGCTGTCAAGTTTTAGTGCCATTGCATCGATCGTGATATCTACCCTAACAATCTATCTATAATAGTGTTTATATATCATCTAACTAACTAATAAAATAAATATAACCACGGCTAACTCTTAGATAAAAATGTTTGGGGCCTAGGTGTTCATAAAGCATATGCTTTGTGAATGTTTTCAACCCTCTTCTGTTGAACACACAAAGATTACAGTATAAACTTCCTCTTTTCGATAGTTCAGGGTGAAAAGAGTCGAGAAATAAAAATTTTCATTGGCCTTTCAAATAGCAACTAACTAGTTTGAAATTAAATTGCTCTGAAACAACAGTGTTTTAGTCGTATTCGTTGGCTGTTATAACTGTAGTCAAGTATATGGGCAATATAAATATTGGCTGTAGTATTGGAATATACTTGCCTTGTCTTGTAATAGCCATCGAATAAGCACTATTTCAAAGAATAGTTGAAATACGAATACCAAAATGCAACATGAAACACATAAGTTTCACAATAATTCTTATAAATAGAAATGGAAGTGCCTCCGACATGAGCATTTCACTTAAAACTATTTATATCGCTTATCTTCCCTTTATATACTCATACACCCCACACAATGGCGAAATTGATAATAAGTCTTTCGTACTCCACCCTTTAACTGATCCTGGGTTGGCAGTCGTTCTAGGAAATGATGGAAAGAAGTTAGCCTTGAAGCCGGATTCCGGTAGAATGGATCCAATCAAAGTGTCCAATGTCAATAAAGACGGTTACTACAACTTAGAGACGCATAACAAAAAATTATGTGTGGATGATAGCAAACTCAAGATTTGTAAGAAGAAAGACGGCAAGTTTAAGATTGAGCCGGTGACAGACTACAACTATAAAAACAAAGGCCCTAATAATCGTAACGAAAGAGTTTACAGGGTAGTCAAGGCATGGGCCAAGATTCTGTTCATTAAAGTCAAGTGGCCAACCTGTCTGACAAAGTCAGGTAAAGATAAGCTTATATTTAAGACATGCAGTAAAAACAATGCAGACCAATTATTTTCATTTGAATTAGTAAATCTACCGGAGAAGAATGATAAAGATAAGAACTATCCTTATTCTGAGGATTCTTCCTCTGAGATGAGCAAGAGAAGAGGCCGTAGGAGAAGAGCAAAGACCGAAGATTCAGCCTCGATAAGTAGTAGTTCATCGAGTGAAAAGGATTCCAATTCAGATCCTAATAAAAGAAGAATTCCAGGACAACCCTGTGTGCCTCATCCACTCAACTGTCTACCTACTCAATCCAATGCTTGTCAACCCAATGCTTCTCATTTTAACACTCTGCCTGGCACGCCTCAGTCGTTTGGCCATCAAGGCATGGCCAATTGTCTTCAACACCCAAGTTCCCGGTTTTCACATCTTCTTTTGAATCAAAATGAAGTGAATATGATTAAAGACAATGCTAGGACAACAGAAAGTATTGATCAGTGGCTATCACAAAGGAATGCACCAGCCTTTTGCAATCCAGGAAATTTCAATCAAAGTCCGTGTGTTATTCGTTAATAAATAACAATTGTGAATGATACTTGCCAAAGCTTATTTATAACGTATTATGACCAGTCTATTTTCTTCTATTTGATTTGTTCATCACCGGCCAAAAACAAAATAGAAGAACAAATAATGGGATGGGTGAATACAATGCTCAGTTGCGTGTACACCACACAAAAGACCAAAAAACTGAAAAAATGGATAGACGGATTCATAATTAAGAAAGGATCGGGGCTAATTCTTTACAATGAAGAAAGGAAAGCAATTCACAGATGTACCTCGTTTACTGTTCTTGAGGACTCAACTATTGAAACGTCAATGTATTTAGTTTGTGCAGAGAACTTGGAGGAATTTATGAGGGAAACCCAAAACCAGGAATGTGCCAGTGAGTATAATTTAAAATACAGTAAAAAAACCTCCCTAAAATTAAATGAAAGCAGCGAAAATGCTGACAGGCACACTACTTTTATGTTGGATCAAGGTGAAAATAAAAGACTGTGCGACAATAATGAAAAATCAAAAGGACGATCAGTTGAGGATATTTTAAGCTTATTCCAGAAGCAATAAGAACTATAATTTAATATAACGGAAACCATCTTTGTAATACATTGATTACTATCCAATGAAAAGGAGCACTTAAGGAGAAATAATAAATGAAATTTAATTAAAGGAGTATATTTTAAATGCCAATTAACAATTCATTCTTTAAACTCCCAGAAGAGCTCAAACGAGAATTTCACAAAAGCTTTGCTTCTGAAGACGATGCTAAAATATTCTTCTTCCTTAGAAAATTGTTGCAGTTTGTTGAAAATGATAACAGCTCTTATAACGTCTTATTACTCTTTGAGAATCCTTTGAAAAACGACGAAAATAGAAAATTCATTGACAATCTTAATAATAGCTGTAGGAAATTTCTAGAGTCGAAAAAAATGGCAAGTGACAAGCATACGAGTGGATCTGCTCTCTGCTACATTGGTGTTGGATATGAATATGGATTTTTTGGGTGTCCAAGAGACTACAGGGAAGCTTTTGATAGCTATTTGATATCATCGCAGCTAAACCATGACTTAGGAACATATAAGCTGGCACAATGCTTTGAACAGGGCAAAGGAACATCCAATGATAGTGAGAAAGCCCTTTATTTTTACAGATGCGCCGCAAAGTTGGGTCTCGTAGATGCTTTACATGTTTACGGATCCATACTTGCTAACGGATATTTAGGAACAAGATCAGATCAGAAAACAGGACTACATTACATGTCCTTGGCAGCTGTTAATGCCAGTAAACTCTATCCTTACCCTCTATTTGATATAGGAAAATGGTATGAAACTAAGCAGGAGAGTCTTGATATCACTGTTGATGAACAGTATTCATTTGACGTTTACATGAAAGGCGCCAATCTTAATGATCCCAACTCACAATATAGAATAGCCAAATGCTATGAGAATGGAGAACTGAAGAGGAATAAATCCCTTTCTACTGCCGTGGATTGGTACAAGAAAGCGGCAGAGAATGGACAAATTGATGCACAGATGATGTTATTTGGATTTTATTCTACAGGTGTAATGAACAGTGTGAGGAAGGATTTTGGAAAGTCGTACTACTGGGCCCTACGGGCAGGGATAAAGGGAAATGCCAGAGCGGTATTTTTCCTAGGGGAATATGCGAGGAGTGGCACGGGAATAAAGCAGGATATACTATTGGCATTGTGGTGGTACACAGTATCTGCCTCTATGGGAAGCTATGAAGCCAAAATAAAAATGAGAGAGACCAGGGCAGAGATAGAAAGGAGGGACATAGGACCTGAAATACCATACATGTGTTGTGGAATAGTTATTTACAAGTACTACGATGACTAAACACTATCAAGTAATTCATTTATACTTCTTTTCATTTATCGCTTTGTGAGCTTAGTGATAAATAAGCCACAGTGCTATTTTCTTGGTGCCTATCTTAGATAATGATAATGCCCTTCTACTCTTTTAATTTCCTCCTCAATTTTCTGGATTTCAAAATCAATGGTTCTATTTTCCTCTTCAATTACCTTGTAAAAGTTTTCGTCATTGCTCGCTTCGGAATTGTGACTGTCATTGCGAATGTGCTTGCTTGGGTGGCTTGCTAAATCATACTCTTCATTTGTTGCATTGCTTGAAATTGAGGCTTTCCATACATCCTTTGTGGGGTTTTTGTGCTTAAACTCACAGTAGGGCTTTGTGCATCCTTGCTCGGTATTCTCAAAATAACAGAAGTCCTCGGATCTCTTCTTCTGAAGATGGTAAAGACTGTGGCGCATAGGACAATCCAAAGTACATTTCTTTGTACTTGCCCATTGTGGACAGAGTGTGGTGTTGGTCTTGGCCATGGGATTGTGTCTATAGCCACAGTTAGAACCTCTTTTACAAGTAGAATAAAGAAAGTAGTAGCAGTCCTCAACGTCTCTGTCTTCCTGTTTAGTGTATTGGCTGCTGCTAAAATGACTGTATTGGCCATTGTTGGATGATGAGTTGCTCATTAGCTATTAGGGCATCCCCAGTGGCAAGTAAATAATTACACAGTACAAAAATAGAACAAAGCTAGGAATGGACTGGTTTGGTAAAAATTAAGGAAGAAAATAATAAATCTTTCGTCAGCGACAGGATTCGAACCTGCGAACGGGAACCGTATCAGTTTTCAAGACTGACGCCTTAACCACTCGGCCACGCTGACTAACAATGCTGGTTCTATTGGTATGTTTTATTTATCATTATCGTAATAACAAGTATAATTAATCTTTCTAATATGTGTTGTTATGGCAGTCTTCCAATAGGATGCATTTTCCCTTTTCTTGTTTTCGCCCTATCTGATTGCAGGCCATCCTTAACTGAGTATCGTAGAAGAACCAAAGCCTTTTAAAATGTAATGTGGGTTGATGCGCGAAGACTCAGCTATCTTAAAAGAACTGTCAATGTTGTATTTGCGGTGTCTTTCTGGTAGATTCGTCCTTTTGAATATACATTTAATTTTTGTATTTTCTTACCCTTGATTTGTTTACAAGCAAATGTCAAAACCATTTCCGATAGGATCATTCTACAATGTTTTATTTTACTCAATCATCTCTACTGTTGCCATTTTCCTTCTCATCTTCCTCATTTTAATCTACAAATACGATCTTCTCTCTGACTTTACAGTTATGCCTTTTGAAATTTCAAATGAAACTTTTGTTTTCATTCCTTATAAAGGAGACTATGGAAAGATGAATCACCTGTTTAAGAAAATACAGAAAGACTATTCATCAATAGCTAGTGGGAATGCTAGGATGTGTACTGTGTATTACGACCACACGAGCAAGAAGGAAAATGCTGGTAGGGCCGTTATTGGTGTGCTAGCCAAAAGAGATGATAATGCTAATGAACAAATAGTCAGCAAAATGAACAGGCTGGGGTACACTGACACTTTCCAGTTTGAAAGATTAAAGGTGGTTGGAACTGCATTTCCACTCTACAGTTTCCTTAATATTTTATTCGGGCTGTTCCGAGGATTACCAATGGTACAAAAATACTTGAAAGAAAATAAAAAGAAAGACCATGGCAGCAAGGCCAGTCTGAATGTGTCTGATGACTATCCAATTATCCACATCTATGACTATTGCCTTCACAAATATATCATCGCAGTTCCACTGAAAGATTCAATGATACCTCAATTTGACAAGCTATACGAGAGTCATAAAGACAAATAAAGTTGATTTATATGACGTTTTGAAAGCTTTTTAGGTACTGTTCAAAAATACAATATGTATTTGACAGTTTCTACAAAGCTTTGAGTAAACAGATGTGATAAATTATGCTATACGACTTCTGCCTTTAACAGCAATCTGTCAAGCTTTTACTTAGATACTTTGCAACAGAGGGTTTCAGTGCGTTGTATATAATAAATATCTTTACCTCCAACTATATAATCAAGATTGATTTTAATGTACCAAGTCTCATCAAACTAGCTGTTGGGATACACCGTCATTATGAATTCTGGGCTACCAACCTTTTTTACCTTCTCATCGACCTCAACGCAAATTGTGTCTCCTAAAAACGAACAGTCACATTCAAAAACTCTATCTTCACATTTAATCCCAAAAGAGCCGTCACTGAACTGAACCAAAGAAAGTGTGCTATCGCCCGCAATGTCGCTGTCATTCATTATATTACCGTTTAAAATAAACTCGTGGGCTTCCATTTTGAATTCCTTTGTTGATGAAAATGTTTTTGGTGCATACATCCCCTTCATTGGCTGGGCAATCTCCTTTTCCTGGGGCTGTTCTTTTGTCTTTTCCTCGTATTTTGTATTTGCTGGTGCTTTTGGTGGCAATTCTGCCGGTATTTTTGGTTCAAAGACTATTTTTTTCTTTGCTCTTTGATTGTTCATTGAGGATAAAGATTTAAAAACAAATTAGACTTAAATCAAGCATTGCTTAACAAAGCTACTCATAATTTGAGTGGCTGAAAGACATCTTTCATTAATGATGACGTTGGTTGATATAAATATGACATGTGTTTGATAATCAATAAAAGATCTCTTGGAAGTGCGGTTGGTTTACCTGACCCTCAAACTGTATTTACATAAATCAGTGACTTTTATCGTCCAACTGTCAGCCTGTTAAAAAGGAATACAAAGTTGTAAGTGAATTTAGCCAACATCTAATTCGCCGTTTGAAGACAGTCTTGGATGTTTCTTTGATGGCTTTTATTTTTTCTCGGTTGTTTTGTTGTTTTTAAATGAGTAAAATCCACGTGGGCTTTCACATTACTTTTATACTTACTCATTCTTCAGCCTCTTTACTGGTTGTTTCAGGCAGACAAGCGAGGCCTACTTTCCAGTATATCTTTCTATATTGAACGGCCGATATACTTTTGGATTTATATTCTCTCATTAAACCATCTCTACAACGGTCTAATATAAACTCAATTGCAGATGATCCAATGCATAGATCTATCTTTTAGTGATAGCATATAGAAAGATTTATGCATTTTTGAGATTCATTGATTGGTAAGATTTAAAAGGCAACTTTGATACGCTATCTCTATTAAAAAGTTAGTTAGAAAACATTATGTTTATTCAAGGAAAATATCAAAGAATACGTAGACATCACCAATAACAACATCCAAAAATAGCCTATTGTGTGTTTAAAAACACATACAAATATGATATTTATAATAAATCTTGCGTGTTTTCTATAGTTATTGTCCTTCGATCTCTGCAAATGACTTTTAATTAAGTGATGTATATTGACAGTCTCTTTCCTCTCTTTTTACTTCTGCCCCTTGCAAAAGAAAGATTAGCAATGAGAGAAGAACTGCCATCGCAAACATATCTAAGAATCTTGAGGGAAATAGCTACGAATTTAACGTTCAAAAAAAATGACATATTGAGAATGGTTCCCAAAGTGTGGTGTATGGGAAAGGAATACGACTGTTTTTCCCTGGAGGACTTGGCTTCTATTTATAAGAGATTGTTTAGTAAGAAACTTAGCATGCCTTTCTTCATTAGCCATTTTGAAGAAATCTCCATACTTCTTCCTTTTTCCATGATTCCATGTAAGAACATGGGGACAAACAATCCAAAGTACACTTTAATGTATGACACGCAGTCGATGAGGATGTCTGAAGATTTAGCATTGAAAATACAAGATCAATTAATAAAGAACAATGCTAATGATCAAGCCACCTTTAATCACAGTACTCCACAAAGATATTATAATGCTACTACTGACAGTAATAAAGAGAGTAATAATAAGGATAGAAGCAGTGCCAGATACACAGTCGTAGATGATAATTCAAGTAGTGAAGAGTCTGATGTGATACAAGCTAAGATGTGTGGAACACTTTTTAAGAGTCGTTTTGTTACAGAAAAGGATGATAGTAAAAGCAAAAAAAGGATTAGAATTGGAGATTCTCCAAGTAACTCTGGCAATCCTGCAATTCCTGATGAGCACATCAGGAATTCTGAAGCTAAGAAAAGTGTAAATAGCATTAAGAAAGATGATGAAAACAGTCACGTTGATCAATGTAATAGTAAAAGAAGAGGTTTTTATGAAGAAGTCTCTTCGGAAAGTGTTGAATTAGTAAGTAAATTTAACAGCCCCTTTGAAGTGAAAAAGAAGGTTGGGGGTTTCACATCCTCAGACGTTAGAAACAGAATAAATGAAGCCTATTCCAAAAGACCCATCATTCCCATTGATTCTTTCCATACTGCTTTTTGTGAGGTACACGGTAAGGCAATTAACATTGATACTGCACCTTGTCCAATACCCAAGCATCGCCATCCTACCCTTTCGAAATATCTACGGTGCTATGAAGACGTAGTTGAACTAAAACTAATAAACAAAATGTATGCTATTAACAAGACAGAAGAAGTGAAGAGCATTTGCCAAAGACGCTTCTCCTCCTACTTTTTAAAGTTTGATGACCCTCTCTTCAAGGTAAGTCTTGAGGCCCTTTGTGTCAACATGTTCTCAACTAAGGTTACTCTTTCCTTCGGTGATTTCATTGAATTATTCAAAACAGTCTATTCGAACTCCTTCCAGCATGTATTTAAGAGTGACTCGCCCCAGGAGTATTTATGCAATCTTAAAAGTCCAAATATCATTTTGGTAAAAAAGAATGATTTATGCACAATAACGCTTTGTCCTACCCATCATTCTTCATTTGTAGAATGGGAAAGCCCTGCCTTTCATAGAAGGATTGAAGAGATTGAAAGTAGCATTGCTGGGTGTAGAAAGACTGAGAAAGTGTCTCGATTGTGTGCTGTGTCTAGTTTTGACTTCTTTAAAAATCATGGATTTTCAAAAGAATGCATGCATAAAGTCTTAGATATACTGTCAATAGCAGATTTAAACATTCCTAGGAAGGTGCAAAAAAGATCTACTTTTAGTGCTTTGGAAATTGAATTTAATGATTTGTGGCGATTCGTACAAGAAAATATTAACTTTGATGATAAAAGGACTTACTTTGCATAAGTTAAATAAAGAAAGCCTTTGTGTTTTTGTTTATTCTTATTTCTTTTGTGGTTGCTTTGTCCGTTATTGTTACAATTTCATACTTTTATATTAATTATCGTCACTGCATCACTAATTGTCTAATATCCAAAGATAAAAAGGAACATAAACAAAATGCTCCAGGCGAGATTCGAACTCGCGACTTTGGCATTACTTAGCCAATGAACCATAGCCTTTCAGCTTATAAGTACCACACTCTGACCGACTGAGTTACAGGAGCTTGCAGGAATGCATTATTGAAATATATAAAATGTTATTTTATATTAAAGATGAATAAATAATATTAGAAATGAGAAGAATGTAATAAAAGAACTCGAATGTTATGTGTTGTTTAATCTGCGAAATCCCATTCGGAAAATATCTTCAAATATCTCATTGAATCCTCACTGATAAACCCGTACGTTAAAGGAGAATACAAAATAAAGAAAATAATGGAAATAGAAACAAAGAGCATACAAATTTTAAAAGGAACTGTTCTTAGAATATAGCATAAGTTCAGTGTTGCAAAGAACAATGCAGGGAAATAATGATGTAAATAAAGTACTCTTCCAATTAAAAAGAAAGGCAAATAGTGAATCACCCATCCTCCCAGAGAGATATAAAGAAAGAACCAGTCATTCCGTATAGATAGCTTGTTTGTCTTACTTTTTTTGTGATTGTGACAGTTTGATTTATCTTTTGTATTAATAAATTGAATTTTTTTAGATTTTTCTTCATTAACGTTGTCTTTCAATACTCTACTGTCACACTTCAATTTTTTGTTATTAAGCTCGTCGCTTATTATTTCCTTAATATTTTGACTAGCATTATTCTCATCGCATAGCCTATTATTAGTGTGATATGTTGCTTTCTTTCTCTGATTTTTTATATGTTTGATAGCTATCATTATTGGTGATATTAATATCCCAATTGTTGTAGAATAAAGAATGAATGGATTCATAAACATATAAAACTTATACTGCTCATGCCACTGTGACATTCTAAGTCCTCTTCTTAGAATAGGCCATTCATATGGTTTGGAAACTATCCTCTCTGGTTCCAAGTCTGGATCCTGTGTAAAAGATTTGTTCGTGTTAAACATCGCTATTTGATGTTCAATACATCTTCTAAGAAATGAAGGTCTTACTTCCTTGTATTCTTCATTGCCTGGTGAGTCGGAGAAGAAATTTTCTTCAACATTGAATAGGCAATTAGGAGCTTTCTCCGCTTGAGATACTATCTCTCCCTGATCATATCCCCAGTGTGGATAGGTTTTGGTGGTGGAACAGAGATACATTCCTGATATTGAATTTTTAAGATAAAACTTCGTACTTATACTCTTTACTAGTTCTTCTTTTTTGACTGTATCACTTTCAATCTCTACTATCCACACCGCATTCTGTTCAATGCCTGCCCTATTTAAATTAATACGAAATCCAGGTGTGAAGTATGCCTCCCTTTTGGACTGCTCCACATACCCATTTGTTTCTGCGTGTAGAAGAACAATGCTGTCTCCATTCATTACCACATCAGCATTATCTCCATCAGTGACTTTCTGGAAATAGAAATTATTATTCCTATCTTTGTGGTTGTATATTGTTACCTGAAGAGGAACATGTAAATCAGACAAGTCGGCACTTAGATCTGTACTTACATCAGGATACGTATGAAGGTGGGAGTGAAGGTATCCATGAGGTGTTTTAACTGTGATTTTTTTTCCGTAAGAGACGTACTTCTTTACTTTGGAAAACACACTGTCCTTAAGACTAAGTTGGAATTCAGAAGACATGAACCCATCGTCAGACCCGCTGGTATTGACAATACTAAAGTGGATGTAGAACAGAAAAATGTAAATAACGATGGGAAAGAGAATGAGGTAGACTACTCTCCTAGAAAAATAGTTTAAAAAGTCCAGTGGACTCATAAACATGAGTTTGAAATAAAGATCTACGGCAATATAAGATCCTACCTGAAGTGTGGTGAAAAATCCTATCCATTTTACAGACATAACACAGCCGATGAATAAGCCTAGCAGTAATAACTGGATATTGCAGTCTTTCTTTCCAATAATACTAATCTTCTTAATTTTCTGAAACAACCGTACTAGGAAATAGATTGTGCCAGCCGTAAACGTTAAAAGATGAGAATCCAAAAGTATAAGCCTGCTTATTGAAACTACTCCATTTTCAAAGATGAAAAGTAGGGTGAGGAGCAAGGATCTTCTTAGAGAAAAATTGAACTCTCTGAGAATTAAATAGGCAAAGAGGGGAGTAAATGATGCTATGAAGGCATGGAACCTTCTCATTCCTGCATAGTCGAACGTTATAGGATAGTTTTCCTTGGAGCCAAAGTCAAAGTCGTTTGACTGGCCATGGATAAGGCCTGAAAGTGCTGTAAGCATTTTTCCAAGTGGTGGATGCACATCAAAGTAAAATGTTCTTTCGAGGTATTTCTGGGCAAACTTTCCAAAGTGAGCTTCGTCCCAAGTAACGAAATTTCCCTTTTCGATTCTGTGAATTTTTACAAGGTATGAAAGGAGGAAAACGAAAAGTGGAAAAGTCCAAGAAAAGATAAGTTTGGGCATTGAAGAGTTGTTTTATTTCAAAAATAAAAATTAATATGCATTTTATGTTTCAGAATGTTTATATAGCAAATATTAAATTATTTATTCTATTTTGGTGACAATACCGGCCTTGTTTAATAGCAATACTGATTGTTACTAAATTAACTCTTTCATTAGATAATATTTTATTAATTGAATATAAGGATAATAAAATGTATGATAGATAAGCAAAATAAATAGCCCTTCATAATATCGAATGCTAATTAGCAATTGCTCGTATTTAAATACAATCCTCCTCTCAGAAAACAACACTCCCCTTCCTGTTTCGGAGTCTGAATTTATTCTAGTTTATCTTAAAGATGTTCAATTTACTTTAAAACTGGGCTCGGATTCTTTAAAGTCCAACATTGGTGCACTTTTCTTAACAAATTTAAGAGCTGTGTACGTTCCTTGGGGAATGCACGACTTTAAATCCTTTTATGTTCCTTTAAGAAGAATTACTACTTCTAATTCAAATAATTTTAGGATTATGTGTGAAAATGGTCAGTTGGGCACAGTTGAATTATCAGGACATTCTCTCTTGACAACATTGTTCTTTCCTGAACTGAAAGAGATTCTATCCGGAATAACCGTTGAAGGTGTTGAGGATTTGAGTGATGACGATGTTCCTTTATATTCTGAAATACTAGAAGATTAATAGTGTTGTTGTCTTTATATATACTGCCAAGTGATACAAACTAGTATTATTTTATTGTTATGACAGACTTGATAAATAAACATAGCTATTATTTATTTACCCTCATTTTGTATTGCACCCTTTTTGTACTTTGATATGCTTTATTGTAACCTGATATATGGCAATGTACTATATTTTATTATTTTATTTGAATATGCACAAGGATATAAAATTGATTTCAGTATCAATGACAATAAAGTTGACAATACTCTATCACTTTTGGATGAGCATAATGTCAAAGATAGCTTTACTTCACCAGATAGACTTTTAAAGTATAATATTGATGATGGTGACACAAAGAGTATGCTTGATAAGGAAATTCACATCTCTACAATACAAAATATTCAAAAATACTTGACTTCAAGCCTTGATCATCCGGAAAAAAAGAAAATAACTGTAGAGAATTTGTTAAAAGAAAACTCTACCTCTTCACCTGGATGTGATATTTCAGATTATACTCCTGTGGATTTCTCCCAAGATATTTCTCACATTAAAGCTTCCAAAAATAGTAGCCTATCTAATATTCTAAATGCCCTTAATCAAAATTGGAAACACCTCTCAAAGATATCAAATGGATCATTTTCGGAAAAAAGCACATTGATCGATACTGGTCTTCCCTTCTTTATACCAGGGGGTAGATTTAGGGAATTCTATTATTGGGATTCTTATTGGATTCTTAAGGGATTATTGGGGTTAAAAATGGAAGTTTCTGCTAAAAATTTAATTTTGAACTTAATGAGAATGATTGAACTATTTGGATTCATACCAAATGGTTCTAGGATATACTATATTGGAAGGTCACAGCCGCCATTGTTTACCCAAATGATCTATTTACTGTATGAATATGATTCTGAAATGTTTGGAAAGTTTGTTTTGGAAGAAGCTTTGAATGCTGCTATTATTGAGTATAAATGGTTAGAAGCTAATAGGAAAGTAAAGATCACTAAGAATGGAAAGGTATTCTACCTAAATAGATATTATGAAAATTCGCAAATACCCAGATTGGAATGCTTCAGGGAAGACTTGGATGTATTTAATGAAAAGATTAGCAATCAACCATTACATAGTAAGAATATATCCAACAAATCGTTACGTGTAAATCCATTAGTAAGCGGTATATATTCTGGTAAAAATCAAACGAGAAATGATGTATATCAAGATAACTTGATTGAAGAAGGTGATGGCCATTCTGATAGATCAAATTTAAAAAATATTCTATCTAATAGTTATGATATTCTGGAATTATTTACTCATATTAAATCTGCAGCTGAATCTGGCTGGGATTTTTCTTCTCGATGGCTTGGAGATGGGATTAATCTCAGAACAATACACACTGCAGATTTTATACCAGTTGATCTCAATGCAATAATCTATAAAAATGAAAAGATTCTTTCATATTTACTCAAAATTAAAGGAAATAGTAAACTGAGCGATAAATTTGCAAAGAAAGCTCACAAAAGGCTCATTGCAATTCAACAAGTCTTATGGAATGATGAGCTAGGCGTTTGGAATGATTTTGATTTTAAGAATCAGAAGCTAAACGATTCAAGATTTTATTTCAGTAATATTACACCTTTAATATTTGGTATTAATCCTCCTATTGGGAACTATAGGCAGATTTTATTGAGATATAGCAAGACACTTTTTGGATATCCAGGCGGTATTCCAGCAAGTGATAATTACATTGATGATAAAAAGTGTGCTCTTGAACTTGTGTTTTTACATCAATGGGACTTTCCTAATGTTTGGGCGCCTCATCAGAGTATGATGGTAGATTTTCTGATTGAAAAAGGCGAAAGTTCATTTGCTTTACACGTAGCTAGGACATTTTTTAACAACGTTAATGCTGGGTTTAAGAAACATGGAGTATTTTTCGAAAAATATCTGTGTAATAATTCTGGATTAACGGGAAATGGTGGTGAATATCCTCCTCAGGTTGGTTTTGGATGGACAAATGGAACGATCATTGATTTTATTATAAAATTTGATGGAAAAATTTCAGAAGCTTTTGATCATAAAAAATCATATGAAGAAATTCTAAAGCAGTTAAAATATTCAATAAATAACAATGTATGATAAGTAGGCACTGATGGGATATCATTAATAAGATATGTTTGAACATTTTATGGATTTTTAAGAACATATCTAGTACACTATTTTTATTGATCAACAAAAATGCTTATTAAACATTTTCATAAATTCAGCTTCACTAAATCCAGAAAGTGAATCTATGATTTTAAATGATTTATCGGTTACAACACAGTATGGAATCGATTTAAATGCAAAAAACTGTCTTAATCCATCAGCTGCATCTTTTTGATCTTTGTCATCTAGTTGAATTGAGTAGATGGCAGTGTTGATTCTTGGAGTAAATGAAGTTTTTTGAATAAAAGTTTTAAAATTACGGCAAGGTCCGCACCATCCAGCCCCAAACTTTACGATAAACTTGTTGTACGGTGATTCTACTATTTCAGACAGTGTTTTTGGTTGTACTTTATTCAGTTCGATCATTGAAACTCCTTTGATGACCATCTAACAGATAAACTAAGGGTTAAAAACAGTACAGAGTGTTTAATTGCTATACTAAACAACATCACCAAATAAATAAGATATAAAATGAGATCAATAATTTTTAATTTTAATGTTTATTTAATGCAAATAAAAGTTTAAAGTAAGATACATTCAAGACCTATTAA